ATGCATTCATATAAACTCCTACACCTAAATGAATCGCGATTTGTTTAGCATCTCAACCGATTTGAATCGTCACATATTTGAATCGATTTTCAACCGGCTCGCGGTTAATCGTTACATCCCTAATAATAACTGAAATTTAATTAGAATTTAATTAGAATTTTCAGCATCATTAATCCAGTCTTTTTTGTGAATGAAAGATCATGCAGAATTATTATTATTATATATATATATATATATATATATATATATACATGCACACACACACTGCTATTTGTTGGAGCCTTTCATTTATACTCTTAAATTCTGAGAATTGTCTTAATTTTTTATGTAGGGATTTTAAAAATATAGAAATAAATAAATACAATAGGAATTCATAAAAATGGCATTACAACCTAAAATTTTTTACTTACATAAAAGAAAATATATTGGAAGTTTATTGAAAATGATAGAAGTAGTAGTTTGTAGCAATTTGTAGTTCTTCAAATATGCAACCGTGAAATCACGCTGGCTTTTGGCTCCTCTAGAAAACCTAAGTTTTAAAATAAAAAATAATCCAACTGGACAATTTTACAACTGGAACCTGGCTGTTTATATTTATGCAAAATATATCTTATTTTGTGCTTTAGGCTTAATTTCATTGCCAAACTTGTTTGTTGTGTATGAATTTACAGAAGAGGCTTATATAACAGCGTAAGATGCCGTATTAAAGAATCAGATAGATTGTTTCAATTTCTAGCCTAAAAATGGTGTGCTCTACCTCTACCTCAGATGTATTTTCAATAATCCTAGAGCCTTTGCAGCCTTTATATCCTCATGCGCAGTCTGACCCTGCAGTTTTTCTCAGCATTGTTAAGTAAATGCAACACGTTCCATATGATGTGAGATGAGAAACCAGTCTCACAGATGAGTCTTTCTAGCACTTCCCTGCATAGGCATATACAGTTTCCATGGAGACAGCGAGGCCAGAACGCACTGTGGCTTTTTTTCACAAATGGATCTGGCACGAGCACTTGAAAGAAGAGAGAGAGTCACAAGCAGGCACCTAATGGTCGCTTCATCATTCATCAACACCTTCTCCTCTTGTGCCAGGCATATAACTCAACATCTTCCCTCCTTGGCCAACACTTTTCTTTTAGACTGCGCGGGCGGAAACAGCCCGCTGCCATAGGAAACTGTGTATGCCATTTAAACTAAAAGTCGAACAAAGCATATCTACTACACTGGAAAAAAAAAAAAAAAAAACCTTAAGATGCTATTTCTACCTGATCTGAGTTGGTATTAAAGCAAATTTGCTTAAAATTCATTTAATTTTGTTATCTGGCAAAACATTTTACAGTATGTGAAGAATGATTAATCTGTACCAAACATTTTATATATATATATATATATATATATACATACATATATATACTACTGTTTAATATTCTGGGGTCTGTACAATGCTATGTTTTTGAAAGAAGTCTCTTATGCTCACTAACGTCTGCATTTATTTAATCAAAAATACAGTAAAACAGAAATATTGTGAAATATTGTAATAATTAAAAATAGTTATAATAAAATAGTTATGTGAAAACAGTTTTCTGTTTGAATATATTTTAAAATGTAATTTATTCCTGTGATGCAAAGCTGAATTTTCAGCATAATTACTCCAGGCTTCAGTGTCACATGATCCTTCAGAAATTATTCTAATAATAAGATTTGGTGTAATATTTCATGTTATTATCAACAGTTGTTCTGCTGTTTTTGTGAAACCCATTTTTATAGAATGTTCAAAAGAACAGCAATTATTTGAAATTGAAATCTTTTTTTAACAATGTGAAAGACATTAACTGTTAAGTTCAGTCAGTTTAATGTATAATTCCTGAATAAAAAAAAATAAAAATAAAAACTTTTGAAGGGTAGTGTAGGACCAAATGGGAATTATAACTGTTTTATACATAATATTTAGAATACAACCAGTCCTCACCAGTCATGGATAAAATAAAAGTAAAATCATTGTAAATGATATTTTCGAAATTCTATGTATAAAATGACCCAACAACCATGTGAATATCACAGAAATAGGTGTCCAAGGAAATCAAAGCTGTCCCTAGACTCTGTAACGAAAAAGTTTTTTTAGAGAAGGCATGTGGTTGAAGGGATAGTGTGATCTAATGTAGTCCAGCAGAAGGTAGCAAGGCTGAAATCGCTTATAGTACCTTTTGAAGTCCATTGATTCATGTCAGATGCAGTATCGTGGAAAAGAGCAAAAGCATCGAAAATTGTGTTCAGATGGTTATTGACTATAGTTTATGTCTGTCTACATACAGTGGGCAGCTATCTTCTAAGACGGCATGCTGTCTGAAATGGAGCCTCAACGGATTTGAAACACTCTACATTGAAGGAAGCATAATTTCAGCATAAAATAAAAAAAGCTACTCTTCTTTAAAATGCAGTCTTGCAGTCTCATTCGCTTGGTTAAGGAACAGACTGGACAGATATGTTTTGTATAGATTCCTGACATTTCAGTGAATTTTTTATCAGATCACTGGCCCGAGGGATCTATACGGCAAGAGAGAATCAGTTCCACAGAGTAATGTGTTTCAGTCTGTAGTCATCAGTCACAATGGACGGTTTTCTCTCTTTTTCAGTCCGGATGGCAGTTTCCTGGCAGCTGGCTCTGCAGACGGTGCTGTCTACATATGGAATGTGAGCACAGGAAACCTGGAAAAACGGCTTCCTGACATGCACAGGTAACTCAGGGATGGCCACCACGGACAACCAATCATTTCATTTCCTAACCATACTTGCATTTCCTAAGTATCGTTAGCAAACAATGATTGCAAATTCTGTCGTGACCAACATAATTCAATATTTCTGTGTTTTCCAAAACCATAGCTCCAACACACATTTGCAAACAGCATACCAGAATTGTGTGGTCAGAACTACAGCATAGTTTCTTGTTATTATGCTATATAAAATGTGGACTGGCTAATATGCAGTACAAGCTATATACAGTATGTCATTCCACATTTTCATTCTACATCTTTTAGTCTGTTAAGACAATGAAAGCACTGTCTTTAAAGAGTGCACGTGTGCGGCTTTGCTCTAGAAACCAAGCGGAATGTAATACGGAGCCTGCAATTGAATCAAATATCTGAAAATAAAGTGAAACAATGGAGAACAAAATAGCGAAGTAGTCCTTAGATGCCATGTTTAATATTTACAGCAATAATCTGACATTAATTCAAATTTAAATCAAATTTACAACTCCACCACCATTGTGATGTCACTTACTACAGTTCTAAATTACTGAACCAGTGTGGTTTTAATGACAGTTGTTCAACAAATTATTACAATTCGGGAAATAGTCGTGACTAGCAAGATAATTTCTCCAGTGATTCATTATATTATGCAGTTTTTTTACAGTTCAGCAAAGCTTGATGGACTTAAAAGCTTGATTGACAAAATTTGCATATGGCAACAAGGCTTCTCAGCCTTGATTTGATTGGCTATTTGGGCTGTTTCATCTACTATAATGTCAATTTACCATTGTTCAGCGAAATTTCATTAGCAAATTTCAGTCATTTCATGCAGAATCAAAGAGTTTCTGTGATGACAATAAAAGTTGCCCACGCAGATTTTGCTCAAGTTTTTGCGCATTTCAAGTTCGTCATGTGAATTCACTGTTCTGACCAACAGAAAGCTGCTTGGTTTGAAAGTGACTTTGGTGTGACTTAGGAGCTGTGCTTTATACTATGGCTGTCAAAATGGCTGAAAAACTAAATTCCAATTTTTTACTTAAATATTATCAATATTCGAATTATATTCTAATTTAAAAGGCATGACTTCAGTTAGGGGGAAAAAAGCTTTTGGCTTCTCTCCTGAGGCCACAAGAGGGCTCATCGAGCAAAATATTACTAATGCACATTTCGACGAATGTTCGAAATTTAAATTTTTTTTTTTGACAGCCCTACTTTTTACATTGCTACGCTATTGACAATACTGTAGAAAATAGTCATTTTTTGCCCATAAAATTTCGCCTAAATTTTGCAAATGTGACTCCCAGCATCTTTGCATCTTTTACTCCCAGCCAGTGTTTTTTTTTTTTTAAAGTTGCAAGTCGCCACCAGCACTTTGGGTCACTTTCACAAAATGTTCATTGCCCCCCGAATATTTTGTTGTATGAATATCTGAACATGCAACCCTGTTTTATTTATTATGAATACTTGTTAGTTTCATTAAAAAAAGCAACATTTTGAATGAAAAGCTGAGAAAATCGTGTTTTTGCAGTATAGGATTCAGAACGATGATTCAAAACATAGATGTCGATTGCTTCCATCATCACCCCCATACCACTTCATGGGTCAACATTTCATTCGGTAACATTTCATTTCACATTGGTAACGTTAGGCAGTTTTGATTGAAATGCTGTTTAATGCTTGATCATCGCTTTATTTTACATACGCATCTGCTTCCATACGTGATCGCTTGTTTTTGCTTCTTCTTCACTTGTGTTTTATCTAGACATTCAGTACTTTTTCAGAAGATGTGTATTAGCGCCCCCTACCATATAACAGTGAAAATACAGAAAGCTGGAAAATTCCGTCAATTGCATGGAAGCGTTGGGGCAAAGGAAGAGTTAAGCAGCAAGTTACATTGTTGTACAGGAAATGCACTCCGGGTTGATTAGTTTACTTTTTTTTTTACTTTTTCATTTACTGCAAGTCACTCTCAAATAAGGGATAATATACAATCAGCCATTATTATGTAAAGATTTGTCATGATGCATATAAACAAACTCTAAATTGTGACAGGTTTTAAAGAGCGGTAAAGATTTTCAGCAAATATTAACTAAAATTTCGGTCTGTTCTTTGCACAAAGCTATATTTGAGTTTTTAATGTGGCTTCAGGATAATTGGAATACAGCATATTAGTTGCATGGACTATGGTTATGGAGGTTTTTGTGTCAATAATTCCACTTTTGCCGAATGCTTTTTTGGGTGGGATGCTGTGAATTATCTCTTTAATTTTGTCTTTAAATTGAATTCTAAGATTAAATTCTTTTTTGCAGAGCTTCAATAAGCGCGGTGGCCTGGTCGTTGTCAGGTGAATATGTGGTAAGCGTGGACAAGAGCCGTCGAGCTGTGCTCTGGAGCGATATCTGAGACCAGACACGGGCTGCCTTTTTCCATCTTATCAACTGAAGTAACTCCTGGAAATGCACTCAGGGATGTCATCAAAACACAACCTTGTTGGGAAAAGCTCACACTCTGCACTCCGTCAATAGCAGGACCCTTAGTATTGTGACAGTATTTGTTGCTAAGAGGCTGTGTCATCCAAAACGCAGACAGATGTGCTAATGTTACAGGGGTCTGGCGACTGTTGAGCAGAGCTGTCTGGGTTTTGTTTTGAAACGTTGTTACAGATGAATTACCGATGCAGAATGTGCCAAAGCGTTTGTAGGCCTTCCTGTTGCTTGACTTCATCCTATAATTGTCAGCAACTTTAAAATTGGAGATCTCTTGACGTACACCAGATATTGCTGCCTCTGGGATTTGATATCAAAGGGAAACATGAACAAAATGGATTCAGCCTGTTTTAGGAACACGACAACACATTTCTGAATATGTGGAAACTCGAGCCCAATGTATTCGCATGTCAGTCCTATTTTTAGAGACCAAAACACAGAACAGACACAAAATTGAATGCCTGGTAAAAGGCCATTGTATATTGTCGCACAATGACACTGATTCTTGAATGCAATATAAAATGAGATCTAAATATTATAAATTGGAAAAAAAGCACTATTGTTCAAAACTGTGGGGTCAGTATTTTTGTATGAAATCAATGCTGATATTCATTTGATCAGTAGTGACAGTAGACATTTACAATGTAAAAAGATTTCTATTTTAAATAAATGCTGTTCTTTTGAACTTTATATTCATCAAAGTATCCTGAAACAAATGTATTTCCACAAAAATATGAACTTGAAACTGTTTAAGTTGATAAGAAATATTTCTTAGCATGAATTCTCAAGGATCATGTGATGCTGAAGACTGGAGTAATTGGCTGCTGAAAATTTAGCTTTGCATCACAGGAATAAATGACATTTAAAAAGAACTAAATAAAATAGAAAACTTTTAAAGTGTAATAGTGTTACACTTTATAGATATTATCAAATAAGGTTTGATAGATTGCAGGCTTGGTGAGCAGAAAAGACTGACCCCAAACTTTTGAATGCTAGTGTATATATTTTAGCTGTCTTAGACCACAGTGAACATCATATTGATCTATTTCTAGATCACTAGTGAAATGTACTCAAGCAAACTGTGACATCATCATTATGATAATGATTATATCCTGTTCTGAAAAACATAATCTTCAGGTTTTGCACAAACAGGATGATTTCATATAGCTTGAGTGCTGCTGTCATTAAAGGTGGGGTAAGCGATTTCTGGTAGCCGCTTTGTCGCATCCAGTGTACTAGACAGACTTTAGCTGTTGCGGTGCAGACACGGTGTTACTCACCTATCGAGAAGAAACCAAGCAATCTCAGCATCCGATCGCAGGCCTTCCGCTCCTTGAGGTCTCTCCAGTGCTGGAAAGCTGATCCGATATTTACACAACGGGTCCTACATCTTGCCTTATTGCCTTAAGCCTTCGTTTGTTCCGCAGACGTTTTCCTCTTGTTTTTTATCCACCATCTTTATCTTTCTGTCGCTCGGCTCGGACTGAACGCTCTCTCCTCCACATCATGAGTAGACACGCCCCTTACTGCTGATTGGCTACAAGTTTGTTTTGCTATTCGGCCCGAATCAGTTTTCTAAAGCATTTTTGAAAAATCGCTTACCCCACCTTTAAAGCAAACACGGCAATTATTTTGTTTGTTGATTTTTAAATTCACTCTAATTGTCATGCCAATGATTTCTAATAATAAAAAAATATATATTAAATTAGAAAAACAGCAAAATAGAAGCATTTTCACTAGTGGTCTGAGACTTTTAGACCCCACTGTATGTTGTTAATCACTGCCTCAGGGAAGTGCTCAGTTCTACTGGACTGACTCCAGTAATTTATTATAAAAAGGGACTCGTGTTTTAAAAATGAATGAGAGGAAGCCTTGGCCTCCGCCACACTCTTTAGTGCTGCCATAGAGACCCAGTATGCTCACTGCTAAACTGCGCTCAGATTAGCATTTAAAAGAGCCCTGTGTCTGATGAGAATCACAGCGCACCGCTCTGACTGACTTTGAAGACCCAAATTACTGCCATGTGATTCGATCTGCTGTGTTCATTTGCATGTTAATTAAAGGTTAGATGAGGAAAGTCTAATGCCCATCTTACACTTGTCAGCTGTTGGACCGAGGAGATTTAATGTAGAGTCTAGAATATATATTAACCTAAAACCGTATGTGCTAGTTGCTATGATGAAGTACTATGTGCCTCAGAAATCTCTGATCTTACTGTAGATCACTGTAAGTTAATGAAATATATATAAAAGAGTGAATCTCACTACAAAGAACATGTTCAGATCACCCCAAAATCATAAGATTTTATATAATTACGAATACATGCATGTGTGTGTATTTATATATACATAATAAATATACACAGCACACATACATATATTATGTAAACAAAAACTTTTATTTTGGATGCGATTAATCGCGATTAATCGTTTGACAGCACAAATAAAAAGTTATATTTTCACATTTTAAAATTTATATTAGCATAACGTCAGTATAAAAAAATTCTATATTTATTAGAACTTTACATGTTAAAAATACATTATTTAAAAAGTGTTATGATAATCAGAGCAAGAATGAGAATTAGGGTCAAAATGTGCGTAATTGTCATGAAAATAATGTTCCAATGCAATGCAAAAAATCGATTAAATATTTGAATTGAACATAAAGATTTATTAAACATGACCTTGGCATGTATTTCATGGCCTGCTTGAAATATTGGGGTTCAGTAAATCAAAGACACTTCGTGAGATTAAGTACAGAGAAGCATTTTTTTTCTACAAGAAAACATCTATTAGATATTTTGGTTGACTTAGAATAACTGATGTACAATTAAATAAATTTCAACAGCAAAAACAGGTGGCACTACTTGGAGCAACAGATTTTTAGTTCGATTTATGAAGATTACATTTGTTTGCCCTTAAAAGTGCTGTTTTTTTTTTTTTTTAGAGGAAAGCATTTTCTTTTTTAATGATATTGTTACCGAGTAAAACTTAAAAGAACTCTGCCTTTCCAAATGTGGATTGTTCTCAAAGTAGCACAGTTATCAAGGGAACAGCGGTATATTTGTTAACTACACTCGTTTATTTTTTGTAAAAACGTAAGGACCAAAAGTGAGTTTGATTATTAAGTCTGTTGTTTACATGCAAAATGAAAGACAAAGAGCAAATAGGAATAAGTCCATGCTTATCTATGTTCTAACAGGCACTTTCCATGAATAGGGTACAAAATACTGTATGTCCTGAAATACCAAAACTTGTGTCATGATATAGTTTTAAACACCAATTTAAGTGATTTTGTTGTTTTCTACCTTAAATAATCATAACAATGAAATAAAACATTTTATAAAATAAAATAAAAATAAATAATTTAAAAATGTCAAAAATAGTTGTGATTAGTGTATTTTTATGTATTATTATTATTTGATATTTGTTTCCTACATTAACTTTAATAAATATTTGAGATGCTTTTAGTTTTGAAACTAACTACTTTTCATTATGGGTTAATTGTTAGGTTAAAAACGTGTGCCTAATAAAGTCATGGGACACCAAAGTGTATCCTATTTGTGGAAAGTGCCAATATGACACGATTTAGCATTCATTTGAGAATTCATGTATTTTAGAGTGTTACACTTTTGTCATTACAGTCTGAAGTAATGATGCATTGCTGTCATGTCATATTTTGTGTGGGTTTTAATTTCAATATCATTAATAATCATCTTAATGTTTATATTTACTTATTTGCAGTACCTTAATGAGGTTGATTTATTTATCTGATACATGCTAAAAACACAAAAATATCAGGGATGCTTTTTCAATGAATAAAACTATCTTAAACCCTCACGATGGCTGATTGATATGCTTTATCCTAGTCGGTATTGATTTATTGCTCTGGGTGTTTAGAACTGTAATGTGACAGCACTTTAAACGATGTCGTCGCTCATCTCGCAGCCTCTGCACAGAAGAAATCTGCTCAGCGTTGGAGAATATCGCACACATGCCCTCACACACACATCCAGAGAGGAGGGGAGAGAGACGAGGAGAGGAAAACACAGCGGAAGAGCTCTGCTAGATAGTGTGGATATCAAACGGAAGCTTCTTAAGCGTTAGGATTTTCCAAACAGCGTCTATCGTTCCTACATTCCCACCTGAAGGACTCAACGAGGAATCGCCGGCTTCTGCTCGTTTTATTTTCGTTTGTCTGTTGGCAAGCGGCAGTGGAGATGCTCCTGTAATTGGATTCATCTGGAAAGCGCTCAGACCGTGAGGAGAGCTGCTTAAGTGACAGCGGCTCTCTAACGCAGCATAGTGAATTCTCTTCATCTTTCGTTTTTCCCCTCAGCTCCATCTCCCTCTCATCTTCTTCCCACAGCAGAAGAGTTTCTGTCGCACGCAGATCCTCGCGATGGGTGATAAAGGCACAAGGTAAGCCGTGTGTTTCAGATGGATTAGCTGGTTCAGGAGGACATTTTTCTTTTATTCTATAGCTTGATATGTTCCACATGTAATTGGTCATTTAACATAACAGTGGCTCAACGCAGTCAGTATTTCATCGCAGTGCACATTTGTCCATTCTCAGGGTAAGTTTAGGATGAGATGTCTGAGCTCTTTAACAGCAGTTATGATTAGTTAACCTTTTAAATTGTATTAAGGGGTGTTCAATTGAAAACACAGGTCAGGGACACGGCTGGAGTTGACCCTGCCCTCATGAGCACTACAAATAAGCCTATTCGCTATGCTAAATGGACAATTAGCTGTATGGATAGTTGCATTTTTGATCCCTTCCTCTCCTTGACCCAATCAGGAACAGACCCGCAAGCCATCAGAAACCACTGCACAAGTGTATCCCATTTGTTTCATCTGTTATTCATTTGCTTCAGTTCTCTCTAGGAAGGCTTTAGAGGGATCACACTGTTTGGCAAAGTGGCATTTCCATTGATATTTGACATTTCACACAAGAGCACATTTGACCAGGACATTCAAAACTCTCAGCAGGGCTGTGAAGCAGTTCAGCGCTCAAAGCACACAGCTTTATAATAACAATTTACGATTTTTTTTATTGGCATCTTGAAGAACCTTTAACATCCATGGAAACTTTTCATCACACAAAAAGGTGGAAAAAAGTTGATCAGATTTAAAATGTTCTTTACATCAAGAAAAATGATGCTTTTAAGAACTGTTTACTTCTTTTGGGAATTCTTATACATATTATTGCTGCGAAAATGTGTGCGTTTTTGGAATTTTAAAGAGTGTATAACCCGTGGGTCCCCAATGGGTCACCCTTTCTTAAAGAGCCACTTTGTTACTCTGTATTTAATCATTGAGCTAGTTACTGTATGTCCAAACTTTTGGGCAGCGCTCCTTATTAAGGTAGGAAATACTTTTGAGCCCCTCAAACCTCCAACTTTCAAGTCAGTGAAAGACTATTGACTGTCAGCATAAAGTGTGGTATACATTACTGTTTATTCTGGTCAGTAATCACCCATTTAAATGAAAATTCTGACATTTTGTTTCATAACTTCTTTATACTACAACATTGCATTTTTGATAGTTATTGCTACATAAATATATATACACTATAAACGCTTCTATAGAATGTATTGTGTAGATTTTTTTTTTTTTAAATAAGACAAAAAGACATGATATAACAAATAGGCCAAAGATTAAGTATCTTTGACTGCAACAATATGAAATTCTCCAATGCAGAGTGTCACAAAAGTGCTTAAGCATGGGCACATGGTAATTCACAATTTAATGCATAATCACTCAGAGTCACATAGAACCTTGTTCCATAATGAAAATGTCATTCAGTTCACTACTCCAGTTCTCTCATCTATCAGACATCTGACTGTGAGTACTTGACCATTCAGAATCACCAATAAACTCCAGCAAAATACAGTCCTTTTAAACAAAAGCACAGGCCTTTATGATCAGCTTATGCAAGAGAATGGGAACTTTGGAACATGTTGGAGAGAGTTTTACTGTGCTGAGTGTCGTAAGCGATCTCAACATGTTGTTTGAGTGCTGAATGAAGAATGACGTGACTAACACAATCTCATGGAAATTCGTAATTGGTGATTTGGTAGCTTTGTATGAATTCATATGATCTTGTTTGTTGTCTGTTTTCTTATTATCTGCTTATGTCCTTGTGCCAGGTGAACCGTCATGCTTAGTTTTTTTTTTTGGTACAGTATTGTACAATTCACTTTGTATAAATTCACTGTTTTCCCTTTTTTGTCCTTTTTTTGACCTTAACAGTGACAACCATAATGCACAGAATCGTATTGGATCAGTCCCATCAGACTGATACTTGATCCGGAAAAAGGTCCGTATCCGACTGATATGATAGAGTATCAGATCGGTGCAGTAATGCGATACACATAAAAATGTAAATCTCAGAGGACAGTGGAATAGCTGTGCTTAGTAATGTCTTGTTTACTTGCTAACAATGCTTAAACATCTTTCAAAGATGTAATGTGTGAATCTCGCAACAGTTGGAAATTACAGTGATTAGTCCTTTCTTGCAAGTGCTTATTGTAACAGATTAGGAATTCGTAGTTATGACATTAAATACCTGTAAACTGTAAACCCCAACAGATTGGTGCTTGGCATTTTGAGAAAGCACAGCCAGTTTGTGTGCTCTATGCTTTAGATAATCAGTGAAAGATCTGTTGACGAGCCATCTGAATCTGCTCATGACAAACTTACTATATTTGCAGGAAGTGCATCTTCTGTTGCTTTACATGGTCATGTTACCTTGCATATATTCATCAAAAATGACTTTTTTCTGTTATTATTTCTGTTTATACCACTTCTTCATAAGATTTATAAATTTGTTAATATATAATAAACCTAACATGTCCTATATGAATCATTGTGAATCCCATGTGGTGAACCCCAGGTTAGGAATGATGTTTTTTTATTTTTCCCATAATCATTCATAAAGTACTCTAATATCAATTTCAGTCCCTCCTCCCTCACTCTGTAAAGTGTTGGGAATATTAACGCTATCGGTGGGAACGTGTAAAGGAGAGTGCGAGGCCATTCGTGCGCCAGCGCATCTATCCCCAGAGGCGCGCTCTGATCTTTCAGAGAGAAGAACAGAGGACACTGAGCATTGTCGTGGGACGCGAACAGATCCACTGTCGCTCTGCTATATATGCTCCAAATCTGTTCGACCACTTCCCTGTTCAATTTCCACTCCCCGTCGAGGGGATTGCCCCCGGACAGCAGATCTGCACCCTGGTTCATGACACCCTGTACGTGTGTCGCTCTCAGGGATAAAAGATTGGCATTGCTCTATAAAATCAGTTTGCGTGGTAACGTGTGCAAAGAAAGTGATCTGAGACCTCCCTGTCAGTATATGTAAGCCATGACTGTAGTGTTGTCCATCTCACAAGAACATGATACCCTTTCAGAAAAGGAAGAAAATGCTTCAGCGTCAGAAAAACGGTTAGCATTTCCAAATAGTTTATGTGAAGATTGGTCAGTTGTTGACCCCATCTTCCATTCACTATCCTGCCCTCGTGAATGCCCCCCCAACCGGACAATGACGCGTCTGTTGTTATGACTTGTCTGGCTCGAACCACGCCCATGGGTACCCCTTGAACCAGAAAGGTCGGGTGTCTCCACTGGCGCAGTGCCAAGACTGCCTCTGACGTCACTCTCACTCTCCTCCGGGAGTGACGTAATGGGTCCAGCCCCTGAGACGCTACCCAGCGTTGAAACTCTCTCATGAACAGTCTGCCTAAGGGAATAACTATCAGGGCTGAGGCCATCAGTCCTTATAGTCTGAGGCATGTGCGAAAGGAGACACAGTTTCATCTCTGAAAATCGGTCATGCAACGAGTGAATTTTCTCACCCTGTCTTCTGACAGTCGCGCTCAGAATGACACCGAGTTCAGTGACAGCCCCAGATATGTTATAGACTGTTGGAATTAAAACACTCTTTTTGATGTTTAATTTTAAACCCAGTTTCTGTATATGTTCCAGAAGTATAACTGTGTGTTCTCTCGCTTCTTGCTCTGACCGAGCTGTCACCAGCCAGTCGTCTATGTAAGTAGCGAGACAAATGCCTTTCTCCCTGAGCGGAGTCAGGGCCGCTTCTGTACATTTTACAAACACTCGGGGGCTGAGAGACAAGCCGAATGGTAGAACCAGATATTCGTATGACACGCCAAGGAAAGCAAACCTCAGGAATTTCCTGTGGGGTGGATATATCTTTATGTGAAAATATGCGTCTTTCAGGTCGATTGACGTAAACCAATCGCCCTGGCGCACTAATTTTAGGAGTGTAGAATGAGTGAGCATTCTGAACTTGTACTTCCTTAAGTATTTGTTCAGTGCACGCAGATCTAATATGGGACGAAGAGCTCGAGTCCCTTTCTTTGGGACGAGGAAGTATCTCGAGTAAAACCCGCTGTGGCTCTGCTCGGGTGGGACCACTCTTATCGCCCTTTTGTTCAACAGAGAGGAAATTTCTTCCTGAAGAACATGCTTTAATTCTCCCCGCACCTGAGAATGAATTATCCCTTTGAAATGTGGGGGGGACGCGGCAAACTGCAGTCTATACCCGAGTTGTATTGTCCTTAATACCCAGTGGGACTGTGTGCATTCTCGCCAACTGATTATTCGCAGCGTTCTGGCGCCATCGTGTGGCTGAGTCGTGAACGAGTTTGTGGTCTGTACTGCGCATGCGTGGGCACTTAGCGCTTGGACAGAGTTTAAGTGTCTCATCACCTCTAAGGGAGCGATAACTCCCCGAGGTGATGTTATAATGTGTTCTGTTAACATGTTTTGCAAAATTTTGGGGGGGAATTATGTTTTGCAACATGTTCTGGGAATACAGTGAAAACTTTGAGTTTTGAACATGAAAAGTGCTTGTGACTAGTGGGTGGGTGTGCACCACTGCGCCATCTCTTGTCCTTTTCACTGCTCTGCTTCCCCTGGCCCAACCGGGCTCTATTTTCCACACAGAACATCTGGGAACTTCGAAACTCGTCCCTTGTCGAACGCTGAACATCTGGGGGTCGGGAGCTAGCGAACAGGGGGGCTGTGGGCTCCTTTCCCCGGGGAAGACCCCATCAAACTGCCGCCTTCTTCCTCCTCGCTCCCTGAGGATGGGAGTGAGGTTGAGGAGCTGGCTGGACCGCCTGAGCTGTTGCAGGCGGATAGTTCTTCCTTGGCCAGGCAGTTCTTTGTTCTGGGACTCCGCTGTGACCCGCTGCATTCACGTTCAGTCTCTGCCGTCTAGGAATGCGATAGCTGGGGGGTGGGCGGGCCGTAACTTGTGCGAAGGTCTGCCGAGGTGGCGGAGGGGGTGCAGTCTGTGCCTTTCTAGGCATACAGAGCTGCAAAGCCTCATCATCCCTCTTCTTTTCCTCGCATCTCTTTTGCATCAGTGTCAGAGCCGAGCCAAAAATGCC